AGGTGCTTGGTTATGGCTAAGAAGTTATCCTAACTTTGTCCTCTGTTAGCTTTATACTGCATGTGGACATTTTTATAACACATACAAATAGTATGTAGGAATATTTTCTGCCAAACCTGTGTATGGTCATGGGTATATTCCTGTTTGTCTACCCATACTTGATCTTCTTGCTTGTCTACCTATGTATCTACCCATAGATGAGTGTTTGTTATTGCTGATAAGGCAGTATTGAGTATGTAATAGTATTTACCTTTGTTTTCTATACCTCTCGTGCATTCTCTGTGTCTTCCTTTTCCTTCATGATATTGTGTTGGTCACACATTTTTGTTATATTGCCTTTCCCTTTGCCCAAATCAACACATGACTCTTAACTAGTTAGCAATTTTCTCTCCCCTCTCCTCCCATCCTTGGTAACTAACAAAGAACATTTCCTTCCTGTGTAAACCTTTCCAAGACTCTTTATAATAACAGACTCATACAATATTTGCACTTTTGTGATTGACTTATATCACTCAGCATAATGTCCTCCAAGTTCATCTATGTTACAAGGTAATCAGCAGATTCTTCATTATTTTTCAATGTTGCATAATATTCCACTGTGTGTAAGTAACACAGTTTGATTATCCATTCATCTGTTGATAGGCACTTAGGTTGTTTCCATCTCTTTGCTATTATGAATAGTGCTGCAATGAACATGTGCCTATATCTGTTTGTGTCCTGGATCTCACCTTTTTAGGACATATTCCTAGTAGTGGGATTACTGGATCAAATGGTATTTCTATTTCCACTTTTTAAGGAAGCACCATACTATTTTCCACAAGTGGTTCTATCATTTCATAGTCCCACCAGCAGTGTATAAGAGTTCTAATCTCTCCACAGCCTTGCCAGCATTTTTTTTTTTTTTTTGTCTTGTTGAACTTTGCTATTATTGCTGGGCTGAGATGATAATCTCTCTAATGGCTATATGGAAGGAAGGTTGGACAATCTACTTCTGTAGTAATACCCCTCGGAAACCCAAGGAGGGGTCACTATGAGTCGGATCTCACTCAACAGCACATAACAACAACAATAACAATAACAACAACAACAACAATGACTAATGTCAGGAGCTCTGGTAGCGTAGTGCCTAAGGCATGTGACTGCTAACCAGAAGGCTGGCAGTTCAAACCCACCAGCCACTCTGTGGAAGGAAGATTGGGCAATCTGCTTATCCGTAGTGATGCAGCCTTGGAAACCCAAGGAGGGGTCGCTATGAGTTGGATCTGACTTGACAGCAGTTGAGTTTGGTTTTGGTTTTAATGGCTAATGGCACACATTTCTCCATGTGTTTGTTGGCTGTCTGAATATCTTCTTTGGTGAATTATCTGTCCATGTCCTTTGCCCATTTTTTAAATTGGATTGTTTCTCTTTTTTGATGTTGAGGCATTGAAGTTTTCTAGAAATTTTAGAGATAGGTCCCTTGTTGGATATGTTGTTGATGGCAACTTTTTGTTTATGATACTGTAATATGCTGGGCACATAATGTACATTTGTCAAACCCATAGACAGTATAACACAGAGTGAACCCTAATGTAAACTATGGACTTTAGTTAATAGTAACTATCAATATTGGTTTATCAGCTGTAACAAATGTACACATAATGTAAGATGGTAATAATAGGAGAAACTGTCTATGGGAGCAGATGGGGTATATGAGATTTCTGCTCATTTTTATTTCTGTAAGCCTAAAACTACTTTTTAAAAAGTCTGTTTAGTTAAAAAGGAGCCCTGATAGCACAACAGTTAAGTGCTCAGCTGCTAACGGAAAGGCTGGCCTTTTGAACCCACCTAATAACTTCACCAGGAGCTCTGATAGCATAGTGCTGTGGTAGCACAGGCATCTGACTGCTAAGAAGGTTGGTGGTTCAAACCCACCAGCCACTCTGTAGAAGCAAGACCAGGCAATCTACTTCCATAAAGATTTACCACCTTGGAAACTCAGTGGAGGTCACTATGAATCAGAATCAACTCAATGGCAGTGGTTTTTTTTTTTTTTTTTTTTTTTTTTTTAGTAGCTTCACAGAAGAAAGGCCTGGCGACCTGCTTCTGTAAAGATTACAGCCAAGGAAACCCTATGGAGCTGTCCTATGCTGTCACATGGGGTTGCTGTGAGTCAGAAATTAACTTGACAACACCTAATAACACAAAATTTATTTTAAAGCAAAAAACCCTTCTCTAGCAGCCCCCAGATGACATGAGAAGCTCTTCTGTTCTTGCTCCAGGAGGAGATGCTGATGCCAAGCAAAGAGCTCCCAACTCTAAGGTAAAACGGACTCTCTTTAGGGACTAGATAGAGGGTCCTTCCCATTTTCATACTCTTAACCACTTTCAAAGATGCACTTGTCCCACGACAACATCCATGGTTCTCTCTTTTTCTTTGAATTAACTTGTTCAGATGCAGGCAACAGAAGTGCAATGAGTCTTAAGCGACTCAATCATTTTCTCCCAGAGCTCAGAACAGTCATCTTTTAAAACTACTTGGGGAAAAGCACATTACATACAATTGAAGGCCTGAGCTGTGCGCTGCTCTGCTGTCCCTACCAAGGCAACTGAATACTGTGGTAAATCCTGTGGGGTTACCCCAAGAACATTGGTCTAATTCTCAGTTTTTCCCAACATTTCTGCACCATGTTTCCATCCAGATTTCTACTCTAAACCATCTGGTTCTATATTCTCCAGGGAGCTTGGATTTCCCCAAAACAGTGTATCTTCTTGCATGGAGTCTAGCTTCCACTTAGGGGCCTGACAATAACAAAACCTTTGAATTAAAGATCAGGAGCCCTTGCGTATACTTCCTCCTTTGCCGCTGAGGAACTCTGTGTCTTCTGGAAAGTCACAAACAGGTGTGTTAATACCTGCCCTGCCTTCTTCTAGGGATAATGTGACAACTGAAAGTATGTGCACGGAAGCTTTCATATCTATGAAGCATTAAAACAAAAATGCTACAAGAGATTGCTACTGCTTGAATAATTTATTGTAGAAAGATCAGCACAAGGCTGGTAAATGTCCAACTTTTCCCAACTGCCATGCCACTCTATCATCTCTGACATCAGTTCCTCCTCTTCCTCTCCCCAGTAACCTACCTCCTGTCTTAGGGTTCTGTATTCTCTGTAATGTCTCACAGAACTCACTAACTCCCAAGGAAATGGCTCACATGGTGGTGGTGGTGGAGGCTGGGAGGCTGGCAAACTGGCAAGTCCCAGGTCTGGAGGATACTCCCAACTCATGTGGTTGCAGGGATTGGCAAACCCAATCAGCAGGTCAGATGATGACTGCTGTATCAAATCCAGGGGTGAGATGATGACAGACCAAACGCAGGACTGGAACAAGAGAGCAAACTTTTCCAGAACATTCTTATATATACCCTCAAGGAAGCTGAGGGTGGTGAGTTGAGTCACACCCTCCAGTAAGGCAGGATTCAAGATACATCCCATCCTAAACAGGCATAGAGAATAAGATTTACAATACATCATAAAAATGATAGTGACTTGGGTTACACTCGCCAGCAGGTGGAAGTCAAGATGCATCCCGCCCTAAACAGGCGTAAAACCAAAACCAAACCAAACTCACTGCCGTGGAGTCGATTAGACTCATAGTGACCCCTCGTTGGGTTTCTGAGGGGGTATCTCTAGGGAAGTAGATTGCCCAGTCTTCCTTCCGAGGAGTGGCTGTGGTTTTGAACCACCAGTTTTCTGGTTAGCAGTCAAATGCCTTAGGCACTACGCCACCAGAGGTCCCAGGCATAAGGTCTAAGATTTACAATACATCATGAAATGGAGGAAATGACTAGAAAGGACCATATTAAGCAATTCACTGCATTGCAGCTATTGTAACTTAGAAAAGATAATTTTCCAGGTGAAACTCAAGTGTCTTTTTCATGCCAATGGATGCTGGAAAGGTGGTGAAATACAACAATTTACATGTGTTTTGGGAGTAAATCCCTTCTTCAGACTTTATCGTGGTTCAGTGTTGGAATGTCATGTTTCTAGAATCTCCAAGGGGATAGTGTAAGAGGTGTATTATCTAGAGGCAGGGAGTGCTCCCATGTAGTGACATGATTGCATCTGTGTGTGTGTGAATGAAGTATCTGGCTTAGTGTGTCCATGTGCTCTGTCACATGTATCCTTGTGTGCTGTACCTATGTGTGTGGTTCAGCTTTTGGATTTATTTTTTTCATTGTGGTAAATATATAGGTAACAAAATATTTGCAGTTCCAACAATTTTCATATGTATAGTTCAGTGACATCAAATATGTTCATCATGTACAACCATCACCAACAACTGTTCCCTAGTTTTTCCACTACTCTTAGTAGATATTCAGTGTCCTTTAAGCATTGTGACTTTCTTTCTGCCCTCCCCCGCACCTGCCCACCCCTGCTAACCACTAGGTTCAGCTTTTATTGACTTGAAAGCCCTGGGTTCTGGGTCTTGGTATTCTGCTACTGAGGTTTGTGACCTTGAATAGGACCCTCAGACCTTTCTGAGCCCCAGTCTTTTCATTTTTAGAAGTTGAGCTGGATGAGTTTTCAGGTCTCTTCCAGCTCTGTCATGCTAAGCATCATGCTTATGTGTGGAGGCATTTTGCTATTGGTTTTTCTATCTAGTTTGTTTTCTGGATCTTTATTCTTGTGGGTTAACCACTTTTTGTGGCTGACTCCCTTGCCAGCTTCTATACCTGCATTATTGTTCATTAAACTGCTGGAATTTGACTTTTTGGAAATTGTCTCACTCACTGAAAATGCAGGAAGCTCAAGTATGAAACTCACTCATTAAAAAAAAACACACATACAAAAACCACAGGGCCTATCAGCCTGTCGTCATCGAGCAGACTAGAATAGTGCAGAAAACTCTAGGCAGAGAGGAAATGAACTTGAGAGAAGGAGGAACACTCGGCTGAGAGAGAAAGAGGGCAGGAGTGGAGAGCAAGCGCTGAAGTGTGGGGCCATCGAGATGGTCAGAAGATGGACGAAGTGGTAGTGAAGCAGGGCTTCCTGTACCTACAGCAGCAGCAGACTTTTGGAAAGGTAGGAGCAGGGCTGGGCTGGGGCTAGGGCTGGGGCTGGGCCAAGGGGTTGGGGGAACTGCTAGAAATTCCTGGGGAGATGAGAGAGTTCCCTGAGTGTTCCAAAACCTTTATGGGATGGTAGAGACTGTGCCATCCTCCAAGTTAGACCCAGAGCTCAATCTAGAAAGAGCTCATTCCTTAGCACCCTCTTGCCTCCTGAACAGGCCCCAAACTGTGCTCTTCACTGAGGGTTGTTCACCCTCCTGGGGAAAGGAGGCACTGACTCAGTCTCTTACCTATCACTCTTGGTGACTTCTTGTGGGGATAATTTAGAAAGAGATAGGAAGGAGCAGCTGTGGGGATAATTTGGGATTGCAGTAGTTGTTCCTTCCCCTCTTCCAAGTGCTGTTGGCTTGGTTAGTTTTAAGCTTGGGCTGGGTGGGGCTCAGGGGACTGATTCCTCGGTATGCCCAGCCTCCTTTTCCTTTCCTGGTCTCCTTGAATGAGGAAGTACTTTCCCTTCAACTGACCCAAACCAAGGCTTCTCTCTCTCACTGCTCTAATTCTCAAGGGATGAGGCAGAAAAGTTCGGGGGTTGGAGAGAAGTTCCTGGACATTGGGGCCTTCACAAAACTTCATACAGAACAAGAATGATGGTCTCAAGTCTGAGCCCTCAAGTTCTCTGGGCTTTGGGGACTTAAAGGCTTTGGAAACGTTATCTCTTGGGGTTGGGCCTCCTTGGCCTTCTTTCAGTCTATATCTGTATGGCCTGTTACTTTGCTTCTTTCTGCCTTTGGCAGTCTCTGCTTATTGCAGCCCTCTTAGGTTAATCTTGGTTGCTTGTGCCTCATCTCCAATGCTTTCTAATTCCTGCAGTTATTTCTTTGCCTCCCTTGGTCTCTGTGATATTTATCTCTCCCCATCTCCACATGTCTACCCCAATCCCTCTCCCATAGCTCCTCCTCTTCTTTCCTCTTTGGTCACAAACTCTTCATTTTTTGGTGTCTCCTTCTTGGCATCTCACTGACTCTATACCTGGGTTCAGAAATGGCGGCGGTTCTGGGCCATGCTATATAGAGAGTCAGATTGTGCCTTGGCCCGGCTGGAGCTCCAGGAATGCCCAGAGAAACAACGCCGTGGAGAGGCTGCCCGAAGGGTTATCCGTCTCAGTGACTGCTTGCGGGTGGCTGAGGCCAGTGGGGAGGCCAGCAGCCCCCGGGACACCAGCACTTTCCTCCTGGAGACCAAGGAGCGTCAGTGGCTGCTGGCAGCCCCCATTGCAGAGCGTGGTGACTGGATGCAGGTCATCTGCCTGGTGGCCTTCCCTGTGAGTAGTCTAGGGGTACAGAAAGGGCAAAGGGTTGTGTGGAGGTTGGAGGAGTGGGGCATAGCTATTTCCTGTGGGTAAATGCTATAAGAGACAAGGTCAGGATGCTGAGAATAATTCCTTGGTGGGGAACCCTAGTCCAGAGTACAGAAAGGGGCAGCAGGTGGGTGTGTCCTGAAGAAAGCTTGAGCCAGAGGTGGAGTTTGCGTTTGATGATGGTCATGTGAGACCCCCGAGGCCTTTTCCCCAGGGACAGAAGAAAGAGCTTTCAGGGCCAGAGGGTGTGCTGGGGAAGAGCAGCCGACCTTGCATGGAGGAGAATGAATTGTACAGCAGCTCGGCCAATGGTGAGCCCTGTTCTCCCAGGTACTCTACCCAGGGCGTGGTGGTGGTAGGGTGGTGGTGGGCCATTGCTGCTGATCTCAAGTCTTCCTGCCTTGTGGTTACCCCTAGTCCCCTTATCAGCCTCTCCTCATCACTTCCGGGCATGGCCCAAGGTGGGGAGCCTGGCTTTCCTGAGTGTCAGCTTTTACCCTTGGTTCACCCTAACTTGCCCGGGCTCAGCCAGTAGAAGAGGGCAAGGTTGAAGGGCCTTGGTGGAGGGTGCTGCTCCTGAACTCTTTCTGTTTGGGAGCTAAGTAATTGTTTGAAAACAGAATTTTTTCCTCTCTGATATTGGCTGTGGTTTTAAGGTGTCCTGTGGCTAGGGAGCTTCTCGCTGACAAGGCAATCCCTGCTTTTGCTTTGTAGTCCTCTGGAGTGTGTGTGTGTGTTTGTGTGTGTGTGTGTGTGTAAGCAGGTGGACAGAGGGGAAGCATGTCATCTATACGTAATTTAAGACCCACCCCCACAGAGGGCATGAGATGGCATCAGCAGTGGGTGGATAGACTGACAGCTGGGAGGGCAGGGTCAGGCTTCACCTGCAGCAGTGACGGTAGAGACTAGGGAGGCTACTGGCTCAGAGGGAGACTTGCTGTGAATCGGTGGAGAAGATAAGCCCGTGGCTCAGGCAACAGGGGCAGGAAGGATGTGGGTACAAGGTTGGGGTAGATGTGGCTAGGTCATGATGCCTACTGGGGTAGGGGGTGAAGGTTTTGGGAGGAATGTGTCCTTACACAGATCAACGTAGCTTTCAAGGTCTAGATTGGGGGTTATGAGTACATGGATACCACTTTTTCTAGAGACATTCTAGTATCTTCCTTTAAGATGGGGCAAAGTTGAGGCAGGCCAGCTGTTTCCCATTAACTGCCTTTTTTCTCTCCCCTCTTTTCCCCAGTGGTTGCCCAGAAGAAGTTTGCTGTGACCATGAGACCCACAGAAGCCAGTGAGAGGTGCCGGCTCCGGGGAGCCTATACCCTCCAGGCTGGGGAGAGTGCCCTGGAGCTGTGGGGTGGCCCTGAGCCAGGCACCCTGCTGTACGACTGGCCTTATAGGTTTCTGCGGCGCTTTGGGCGGGACAAGGTAAGAGAGGGCTGCAGCTGGGTGAGTTAAGAGCAAGGATGAAAACAGAGACAGTTTCAGGGAGAGGGCAAAGCCTCCATCCTCATAAAGGAAGAGAGAGAAGGGGAGGAGGAGAAAGGAAAGCTAGAGAGAAAGGCCAGCAGAAGAGACTCAGCCAGAAGTGATGTGGAGAGGACCAGGGGAGAGAGAAATAGTGAAAGGGAAAGAGAGGCATAAGTGTGAGAAGGAAAGGGAGTGGAGGTGGGGGAGAAGGAAAGGAGGAAGGGAAGCGAAAGAGAGGAATTAGAGAGGAGTAAGGAATGGAGGAGGAGCCCTGGTGGTGCAGTGGTTAAGCACTTGGATGCTAACCAAAATGTCAGTGGAACAAACCTACCGGCTGTTCTGCATAGATGAACTGCTTCCCCTCTGTCCACCTGCTTCCCACACACCCATTCCAGAGGGCTGCAAGAGCAGGGATTACTTTGTCAGCAAGAAGCTCTCTTGCCATAGGACAACTTAAAACCACAGCCAATATCAGAGAAAAGGAGATTCTGTTTTCAACCAATTGCTCAGTTCCCCCAGAGAAAGGGTTCAAGAGCAGCACCCTCACCAGGCCCCTGGGCAAGTCAGGAGGGAGGAGAAAAGAACTTGGGAAGAAGAACAGTTCCTATTGGAGGGAATTTGGAGGAGATTAGGGCTCAGGATTGGGAGTGAGGTCCAGGAAAAGCAACTCCATCCTGTGGCCAGGCCAATAACTTCCCTCTCCCCTTCTGCCAGGTAACCTTTACCTTTGAGGCAGGCCGGCGCTGTTTCTCTGGGGAGGGCAACTTTGAGTTTGAAACTCAGCAAGGCAATGAGATCTTCTTGGCCCTGGAGGAGGCCATCTCCGCCCAGAAGAACGCTGCCCTTCCGGGGCCCCAAACCCAGGTGGCCACCATTCCCACAGTGCTGCCCCAGGCAGAAAGCCCCTACTCCCAGCCCCATGACTCACTGTCCCCACCATTGCCCACCACGCTAGTGCCTACACCACGGCCTCGAGGCACAGAGGGGGAATATGCAGTGCCCTTTGATGCAGTGGCCCGTTCCTTGGGAAAGAACTTGAGAGGCATCCTGGCAGTCCCTCCCCAGCCCCCAGTCGACCCTCTGTATGATAGCATCGAGGAGCACCCAGCCCCCCGACCTGACCACATATACGATGAGCCTGAGGGAGTGGCTGCCCTCTCCTTGTATGACAGCCCCCAGGAGCCCCAGGGTGAGGCGTGGAGGAGGCAGGCCAAAGATGACAGGGACCCCAGTGGCCTCCAGCATGTCCTTCCAGCAGGGCAGGACTTCTCTGCCTCTAGCTGGCCTCAGAGAACCGAGTATGATAATCTTGTACTCAAGAAAGGCCCAAAGTGATAGGAGGGTGGAAGAGATGTGAATCACATTGAAGTGTTAGCACAGAAGCAGTTCTGTGATGCTGGAGAAGGGAGTTAGAAGGTGGTGGGAAGGAGCAAGGAAGAGGGGGTAAGGCAGGCCTCCTTTTTTTAGCTTCTGCCAATGACTCTTTTTGGTCACTGCATCCACAGGGCCTCCCTCTGCCTCCTTCCTGCCCCCCTCCCCCACTGGGCTTGGCCTGCCTTAGTTTGGTTTGATGAATTGTCCCTCCCAGTGCCTGCTGGGTGAGTCACATCCCAAAGCAAGAAGGGTGCCCTGGAGAGACCCACCCTCCTCCCACTCTTTTTCTACTTCCTCCTCTCCCAACACCCAGCCTGAGCAGATCCTGAGGCATTTAGGGCAGAGGACAAAAGGATACAGGGGATAGCTCTGGCTCCAGTCACCCCAGGAGATGGCTGCAGCCTTCTGTGAGGTTCAGACTTCTCTATGGCATTAAACATCTCTGAAACACTTTTGTGTGGTGTGAGTGCTGTGGGTGAGAGGTGGGGATGGCTGCAGCCTTGCTGGAGGATGAATGTTCCAGCTGACCACCACTGAGCATCTCTCTCCTAGTAGTAGTGAGGGCCTCCTTGGGCTTGTGTTGGGTCTCAAGCATCTGTCCAAAGGATCAGATGGAAGTCTGTGGAAGTTAGGATGCCATGGGAAAGAGGTTCAAGTATCTAACCCTTTGCTAGTATCAGGTCAACACCAGAAGAATGATGGGAAAATAGGGGAGTGGTGAAAAAGCTGGACTGGAAGAAAGGAAAGAGTTACCAGTTATTGAGCCTTTTATGGACTAGATGTTACTGTGTGGCACCAAGTTGATTCTGACTCATAGCGACTCCATGTGGCAGAATAGAACTGTCCCATAGTGTTTTCTAGGCTATAATCTTTACAGAAGCAGATAACCAGTCTTTCTCCCAGACAGTGGCTGGGTGGATTCAAGCCACCAACTTTTTGGTTAGCAGCTGATGGCTTAACCACTGAACTTCCAATGTTCCTTATGTACTAGATATAAGACAAAATGCTTTTACACTCACTACCAGCTAGGTGGCCCTGGGCAAATCCTTTCCCTTCTCGGAGACCTGCCTTCTTTGTAAAATAAGGGGTTGCACAGTGTAGATGCTAAGAACTCTTCCATCTGTGATTCCCCAGTGGCCCTTGTGGCCCCAGATCCCCTTTTACCTCATTTCCCCACATGTTAGGATCTGCTCTTGTGTTTGTTCTCCCAGTCACCCAAACCTGCCTTCATGGAAAGGTACGTCAGTAAATGACTGACAGCAGCCAATTCAGTGAATATTACAGAGCACAATTTGTATAAGGCTCCCTGGTCTCAAGCTACTTTACGCCCAGAAGGGGGATGAGCCAGGAAAGATGTCTTTATAATTTCCATAAGAGGTGAAACAGTGCCCGGGGGTTCAAACCAAGAAAGGCTTCCTATCAAAGGTGACATTTCAGGTAGACTTTCAAGGTGAAAAGTCATTTGATGATGATTTGGTTTGAAGAGGACACCCTGGGTAGGATGGATAAAGAAAATAGAGTAAGAGTATGGTGGGAAAGTCTGTGTTTATGAAAGAGTTCTATATTCAGAGTAGATGTGTGACAAGTTGGGAAAGCCGGCTCAGACCACATTGTGGAGAAATTTGTACCTAATTTGAAAGGATGGATGAATGACTTCAGGCTTTTGAGTCCCATAAGAGTTAAGCTTTAGGGCAATAAATTCAGCGTCTCTGTGGATGATGGGCTGGAGGGTAGAATGGGTTAGGAGGTTGAATTGAAAAGGGACATTCAGAAAAGGCCATTGATTCAAAACTCATGACAGATATAGGTCCTGAAAATCTTGGATCCATGTTGGATGTGGAACACAGAGAAATAAAAATATCTATCTCTAGAGACTCAGGTTTTAAGAACAAGATAAGATGTTGAAGTTAAGATGGTGCCTAAGGCATTTGACTGCTAACCAGAAGGCTGGTGGTTCAAACCCACCAGCCACTCCTCGGAAGGAGGTTGGGCAATCTATTTCTGTAATGATACTGCCTTGGAAACCCAAGGAGGGGTCACTATGAGTTGGGTCCGACTCGACGGTACATAACAACAACAACAACATGGAATATATATTCTGCTATGCAATATATTCTGTTATGATTTGACTCATAGCGACCCCTCCTTGGGTTTCCGAGGCAGTATCTCTATGGAAGTAGATTGTCCAATCTTCCTTCCAAGTAGTGGCTGGTGGTTTTGAACCACCAGCCTTCTGGTTAGCAGTCAAATGCTTTAGGCACTATGCCACCAGAGCTCCTAATGTATTCCACTAGAGGCAACCTGAAAGCAGCTAGAAAGGGATTCTAGAATTTAGGAGGAAAATGAGATATAGACATATGGATTGAAGTCAGTCTGCCAGGTGTGTTTGTGATCTAAGTCTGATCTCTCACTATGGCTTTGTTCTTTATTAAAGACATTCGAGGCAGTGGATGAGCAGGCTGGCAGATAGGGGCTGGGAGGCCTTCCTGGAGCCCTGCCTCTTCCGTCTGTACTGAAGGGCTGTCCCTGTTGACACCATCAGTCCCAATCTCAGAATATACTGGATGCCAGAGGGCCCATGCTTCTGAGAATTTTGGTCTTTCCCCTTTTCAGGCAAGGGGTGTGGGTAAGTCTCTTGCGCAAAGACGCGGCATTTCTAATTTCTATGAGGCAGCACTCTAGGTGAATGTCTGGGATCCTCCCAGCAGGGGGCAGTGTTATCCTGTGGAAAAGACCACTGGGGGCTTAGCTGTTGCCAGGCTTGGGGGCTTGGCCCTGAAGGAAGGAACTTAAATATTTACTACTGGAGGAATTGAGGATAATTTGAATTTTCATTTTAGAGTTTGTTTCCTCAGACTATCAGAATTCCATCTGGAGAATGTGGATCCTGCCTTCATGAGATGTGGGATCCTAAGCTGAAACTTGTCCTTCTCATACCTTCTTTCCTCATTTTCAAGATCTAGGGATTTCTGAATTCTTCCATTCTGAAGCTAACTCTGTTTCACCAGAGGAAGTTGTAGCCTGGGGCCCCAGAGAAAGGTGGGGTAAGGGCTGAAGAGAGTAGGGGAAGTAGAGCATTTGGGGAAGCTGGGAGGGGTAATGAAAGTCCTTAAGACAGTTGGTGAGGAAATACTGACCATGTGTCAAGGTCTCTCTCAGAAGACGTTGTCCAGTGGGTGTGTCGTTCTGCAGAAAACTGTGTCAGCGCAATCACAACCAGCCCCAACTGCATTAACATCACCTACAATATGTTGTAACAACAACAGCAACACAATATGTACGTCATGCCTTCATTTGACAAATGCCGTTGAGCATCTCTTATGTACCGGCATCGCCTGAGGGCTGTGGATGCCATGGTGTGTCACAAAGACTCTCCATCCACCTGTGTGGAGCCCCCTATACAGAGTAGGTGTTCAGGAAATGTTTGCCAAATGAATTAAGGAAAGATTTAGTTTTAGGGGTCAACCTCCTCAGACATAAACACAAGGTGGAAACCCTCCTTGAAGTGTTTCCATGATACCCAGGTTGTCAAGGGGCAAATTCATAGGTAAGGATACAGACAAATCTTGAAGGGAACAAGACAAGAGAAGTGACAGTTCCACCAAGAAGGATCCCTCTGCTTCAGGGTCTGCTGCCTGGCAGCTGCTGATACCATGAGAAGTTTTGCTGTGACCAGGACACTTAGAAATTACTTATAGTTGCTAATTGTTATGCAGAGGTGACATTAGGGCAGGCAAGAATGGCATCGTGACTGGCGCCCAGCATAGAGATGTGTACACGGCCCTCCAAGATTCATAGAACTGCAGGTGTGCATACACAAGGACATAATAGCATTTTTCCAATTTTGTTTTTTCACTTTCTTGCTTCCCCTTGTGTTTTCTTTTTCCAGAGTGCATATATGTAGTGTCTGTGTATGTGTGAATGTATGTATGTATGAGAGAGAGTATGTGCACGTGTTGGCTTGGTTCCATCTCTTAAGCCTGCTCACAGGATGATTGTGGAGGTTCTCAGTGTCCCCTGGTGGGTTCCCACCATGGGGCATCAGGATATATAAGGGCCTATGTTGCTTAGGCCTCTCTGCTTGCTCAGACTCCTCCCTGATGACTACACTTAAGCTGTTGCTGCCACCACCTTTCAGCTGTGATGCTAACCAGCCACCCACCTCATGGTTGCTGATACAATTAGCCAAGGTGCCTACCTCCTGCAAGGACCATTTATGAAATCAGCTGGGGCAGCTGGAGAACTCAGGCAGGGTGGGACTAGAGAAAAGCAAGGGGGGAGGTCAGTGAGCTGGGTGGAGGGGATATAAGAAGGAGAGTCTCTGGGAGGGGGTATCTGATTCTATTAGAACTTAGGCCGGCTTCTCCATGGGAGACAACTGTACATCACTGCCTGGCTCCGATCCTCTACTCCCAGGCGGAGCTGATGCTGGCCAGCTCAGAGCAGGCCCCATCAATCTCCAGGCTCCTGACTGGTCTGCTTCACTCCTCCTTGGCTCCCTCCCACCTCTGGAGCCCTCTTCTTGAAACTAGCTCTTGGATCCCTGGGCCAGAGGTGGTTGAAGGTAGGGGGAGAAGGGGTGGGTGAGTACTGGGTTCTGAGGGATTTGTGAGGGAGCTGGTGTTTCAGAGCCGAGTTAGGTAATTCTGGGACCTGAACCCCAGGGCGGAGTCAGACTTGTACTTTCAAGTGTCTGATCAGAGAGGGGTACACTGCAGTTGGGGGTGGTTGGAAAGTGTGCTTGAGAGGGCAGCAACATTTAGTACTTGCAAATGTCCACTGACAGATGAGTAGTTACTGCACATGAGATATATTGGCTGGGAATCGAACCCAGGTCTCCTGTGTGGAAGGTGAGAATTCTACCATTGATCCACCACTGCCCTTCTGTGTAGCTTGACTACCTGGGTTCAAATTCTGACTCTGCTGCCTGCTTGCTGTGTGTCTTTGGGCATCCTCTCTAT